AAAAATCCAATTCTTTTTTAAATAAAAAAAAGTATATATTTTTATAAAATCCCCCCTTTAAAAAATAAAAATGATATTTATTCATATGTATATATTGGTTTTCCACAGAGGATGCCATATATAAAATGACCCCCGGAAACACGCTTCCTTCGGTACCCCTTTTTGGCTGTGTGGCCTCAATCCTCATACTTCTCCATCATCATCATCACAATTCTCTCTCTCCCCACTTTCTCTCTCTAGATGACATCGAACGGCGCAGCGACTACGAAATCCGAAGCTTCCCTGCCCCTGGAGTGCTGTATGTGTGGAGATTTTGGCTTCTCTTATGAGCTATTTCAGTGCAAAATCTGCCAATACAGATCCCAACACAGGTAATTATGTTTGATTCTTTCTGGGTTTTCTTTGTTTTTGGTTCTTCTGAAATGGGTCGATTTTAATTTGTTTGTAATTTGGCTGTTTGTTTGTTTCAGATATTGTAGCAATCTGTACCCGAAAGCAGAGTGTTACCGAATATGCAATTGGTGTCTGAGTCAAAAGGAGGAATCGAAAGCAAAATCGCCAAATTCTTCCAATTCTTCTACGTCGAATAAAGCGCAAAATAGCAGTGGCCGCGACGATTATTCCTCAATCAAAAAGCCCAGAAACAGCAATAAGGATCAAATTCGCACCTTCCAATCTCAAGAAAACAGACCCATCAAGAAACAGAGGTCGCCGGAAGTTTTGCCGCCTCCGCCTCCTCCTCCTCCGCCGCCGCAGGCTCGGCGGAGACCCGTCGCCGTGGACGACACTCTCCGGCGGACTAGATCGGAGGAGATTTCGCACCGAACGGGGATCCAACGGCCGGTGATTTTTAGGAACAAGGTGAGAAGGTACAAACTTCTGGACGAGGTTTCCAGCTGAAATTTTTTACACAGATCACATCATTTCATGTCCTCTTTTTTGTTGTTGTTGTTCTCTTTCTTTTTTTCTTTTTACGGAATTACAAAAAATTAGTGGAAATTAAAGAAAAAAGATATATATATATATATATATATATATATATAGAGAGAGAGAGAGAGAGAGAGAGAGAGAGAGAGAGAGAGGTGAATCCAGACCATAATTTGTGAGATAAGTGGAAGGCCATTTTAATGATGTTTCTTCCAATTTCCAGACCAGGCATTTGTACAATATAGCTCAGTAAATTATGTTGATATATAATAGACAACAATAAGAACAAAGAGTTATAAATTTTGAAAGAAAAAAACCCAGTTTTTTTTTTTTGTGCGTTTGGTTATCAGACTATTTTTTTAAATAAGAAAAATTAATTGGGTTGTCATTTCGAAGACTTTGCGAGGATCCTTCCACGCCCACGATTGCGATGTACCAAACACGGTGTTTGCATATCACATATCATATCTATCACAGACCAATCATGTTCTTCCATGTTCTCCATCATAATTTATTCCTCCTTCGACTATAAGCTAATTTAAATGCGATCATTTTTTATACTCACCATATTTTGCAATTTTTTCCTATCGAACATCTACAAACAAGAGGATTTAATCGGAAATATCGACAGATTCCTGTGTGTGGAGTCCAAATAAATATGAAAATGAAATAAAAAAAATCTACTGTTCTAATTTAATCCTTATCGAATTTGAATATCAGAATAGTGGATATTATATGTAATTAGTCTACCAGAGTTCTAAAATCACTTTTGTCATTGTTAATTCCCTTTTCACTGATCATATTTACCAAATAAAAAATTGATTTTTTAAAGTATCATTGGATGATGATTTAAAAAAATCAATTATATTATCACTCTCAAACACATCTTATGTACTCTTAGCATGTCAATTTGAACATAAACAAATGGATATTTAATATTGAAAATTTAGAGAATTATTTAAAAATTTTAAAGAATTAAATAGAAAGAAATTAAAATAACTACGGAAGAAGAAGAAGATTTAGAAATATATATTAATGGAGATTCCAGGTGGGTTTTGGGGACAGGAATTTTGGAACCTTCTGGATTGAGTGAACGGCAAAGAGATTCCTTGAAGATGATCATTGTGATTACTATGGCAACTCATCTCTGCATTCAAAATTCTCTCCGTCTTTTTTTCCCAGTTTTTTTTTTTTTTTTTTTATTTGGAGAATATAATTAAGTTGACGCGTTTTTTTAAAACACTGCAGTTTTCCCATACTTAAATGTTTTCAGAATTATTTTAATGTCCACTCTGAAAAAAATGACAAAATTATAGAATTTAACGTCTAATAATATCTTTGTCACATGCCAAGGATGAACTAAATTTTAAAAATAAATACAGTTTCTAAAAAGTTATATTTTCTTTACTGGCTAAAATTTGACTCATTGAGGTAAGTTAATTTTCTCTCTTAGGCAAGAAAGACTAAGAGAGGGCGGTTGTCGAATTTATACAATGAAGATGATTTTGGATAGCTAGGTTCATTTCCTAATTAATTATGTGATAATCATTGTTACCCTATTTCAATCTTATAATAATGGTTGATTTATATAATTAATCTCTTTTTGTTTTTCTAAAAGCCTCTGCACGTCTAAAATAAATTCTACATAGTCATGCACTTTTAACTATAAAAAAAAAATAATAATAATAATAAAGAAACTAAAAAGTTGAAATCTCTAGTGGTTGAGCGGCCATAAAATCTTTGAACAACTCATGCCTTAATAGGTTGGCCAAAATTGGAGGCCATAAGGGTTGTTGGGAATTTGATTGATTTTGTGAGAAGCAATGATTTATTTATTTATTTATTATTATTACAAAAGGCCCAAGGGTTATTATCATAGATGAGCTGGTTTTTATAATCCCATTCCCATCGTAACCTTTTTATTCCTTTTGCTTTCTTACATAGAAATAATCATTGTCTCTTCCTCACTGCTTAACTAATAAAACTCTCAATTAACTTACATGATTTCAAATTATCTATAGTGCTACTATTGAACGTCTAGGATTTAGATTTTTTTAATCATTAAGATTGTTTCATTTGATAACGATTTTCTTCCTAATTACAAATAAGTTTTTTTTTTTGTTGATAGCTAATTTTAGTTCTCTTTTAAATATAATAATATAGGGAGATGGAAATTTGAATTGACTATCTTTTAGCCATTTATTAAGATGAATGTTCAAATTTAGCCACCCCTTGAACTTCACTTATATTTTTCCTTTTTGCATTTATTGGAATTGGAAACTG